CTGTTTTGTTCCCTCCCATATCCCCAGAACCTAGAATGCCTGGTGCTCTGTAGGTGCTCTGTAAGTGTTTGTTGAATGAACAGTCCCGACCAACCAGCCTCTTTTAACTAGCTCTCTTATGCCCTCTTCATCTCCATCTGCACCCTACCCTGATTTATCTGATATTATATTTTTCCCATTCATTTGTGCAATAAATTCTTATCAAGTACTGGATAAGAATTTTAGGTGCTGGAGACCCAGCAGTGAATAACCAGACAAAAACAGTCCCTCATGGGACTCCCATTCTAACGGGGAAAGACAATAAATATGACAAACTGGTAAAATATACAGTGTGCCTGACAGTGATAAAGGGCAAAGACACAAATAAAGCAGAGAAGGGGTCTAAGTCCTGCTGGCTGTGCAGGTTCAGATGGTCAGGGACAGGTTGACATTTGAACAGAGCCCTGAAAGGATCCACACAGAGAGGGGGGTAGAGTGTTCTGGGCAGAAAAAATAGCCAAGGCAGAGGCCCCAAGGCTGGGTCGCACCTGGTGTTTTTGAGGATGAGTTAGGAGGCCAATGTGGCTGGAACAGAGTTGGGGGGTCGGCGCATAGGAGGTAAGGCCAGAGAAGTTACTTGTTTTATTAACTCACAGGTATTCTTTATTTACATTGGAGAGTATTCTAGTTCTGATTCCCCCATTTAACCAGTGAGGAGAGAGGTGCAGAGAGAAAGTGATTAAACCACTAAGGTCACATAGCTGCTGGGATCGGGGGTGGATGGGTGCTGAGACAAGGTGTGGAATGGAGACAGCTCTGCAGGCAGAGGGAACAGCAAAAACAAAAGCATGGAGATGGGAACTAATTTGGTTTTTAAGGAGTGGGGCCTCGCGTGAGGTGAGATGTAGTGAGAGAGGAAAGCCTCAAAAATTATCCTAGGGGGCTTCCCTGGTGGCGCAGTGGTTGAGAGTCTGCCTGCCGATGCAGGGGACGTGGGTTCGTGCCCTGGTCTGGGAAGATCCCACATGCTGCAGAGTGGCTGGGCCCGTGAGCCATGGCCACTGAGCCTGCGCGTCCAGAGCCTGTGCTCCGCAGCGGGAGAGGCCTCAACAGTGAGAGGCCCGCGTACCGCAAAAAAAAAAAAAAAA